TTCCCCCCCATGGCTTGGCTGTTCCTTTAAAGATGCCGTTGGAAGCCCGACCCTCCTACTGTGTGGGATAAATAGGGACAGACCGTGGCAAACTTATGTGTCATTTGAACCGGGGGCTTTCCCCCCCCCCAGGAAAAAGAATTAAACCACCCTTGTGATGGCATGCAACTTAAACTCTTTCCTCTTTACCTTGATTTCTATTTAGTTATTTCATTTAACCGTGGGGAGGGGGGCTGCCTGCTTGGAAAACTTGGACGTACCCCCCCAATTCACCTTTGGGGGGTATGGTTGGAACGTTTTAAAGATTCCACCTCTTCTCCTCTAAGGATAGCTCAGTGGCTGAGGTCTCTGGCCGCGATGCCAGAGGTTGGGAGTTTGATTCCCGGCTATGCCTTCTTGGGATAGGGGCTAGACTGGATGATCTACAGGGTCCCTTCCCGCCTTGCAGTTCTGCGATTATTATGAACTTCTAGAGAGCTTCGTGGCTTGGGTCTCTGGCTGTGGAGCCAGAGGTTGGGAGTTCGAATCCCCCATCCAGCCTACTTGACAAGGGCTGCTGGACTTGATAGTCTATAGGATCCCTTCTACAGTTCTAAAATGATGACGACGGTGTGAAACATCCAAATTAAGGTTACGTGATTTAACTGTTTGGATAGCTCCGTGTTTTAAGTCTCTGGCTGTGGAGCCAGAGGTTGGGAGTTTGATTCCTCCCCACTGGGCCTCTTTAACCAAAGCTGGACTTGATGATCTAGAGGATCCCTTCTAAGTCTCGGATGAAAAATGTCTCGATCTTCATCTCCCTTCTCCTCTCGGGCTGCCTCTCGGTCTTTCTCATCCTTGCCAACTGCTTGGCCCTGCTCTGCTTGGGGGGGGGGCTGCCAAATCCCAAAGCAGGTTGTTTCCATCATCCTTGAGCGGGGGGTTGGACTTGATGGCCTTAAAGGCCCCTTCCAATTCCATGATTCTAGCATTCTATATTCTTATACTTTCTGCATTTTTTGCATCCACTTTCAGTAAGGCACATGTTTTGCGCATTGATGAAAACATGCTTCAAACCCGTCACTTTGCCCTGTGGCCTTAAATGAAATTCTGAACGCTGTTCACTGAACTCAGATGAAACTTCATTATCACCCTGGCCTGTTCATTGCGAAATAATAACAATTACTACGAAATGATCACAGTTATCTTAAGGGGGTTCTTTTGTTAGTGAATTTACCGACGTTCCTCGATGTCTTTAGACGCTGGACGGAAAGAGTTCGGAAACATTTCTCTACCTCATTTGTGTCTTCGAACTGCGGGAGCGTATTTTGCCAGGCTTTGCGTCCTGCAACGGAGTTGCACCCCTCTTGCATTGGCGGGGGAGTTCATTCTGCTGGGTTTAAATAATTAAACTGCCCCCCACACCCCGGACCAGACATGATTCCTTCTGCCTTTATGGTAGCCATCCTCCCCCCCTCCCCGGGTTCGTGCCAGCTTCTCCCATCTGCTAGCTGATGGGGGTAAATGCTTCTGCTGGAGTTCGGCCAGGCTAAGTGGAAGCTTTTCTAGTGACTTCAGCAAACTGTGGTCCGGGGGGAGCCACAAGAGCATCCGCGCGGGTGTCGAACCTCTGGCACTCCAGATGTTTGGCCTTTCTACCCCTATGGCCCTTTATCATTGGGCAACGCAGGTGATGGGTTCTGGGAGTTGTGACCCAAAACTCTGGCGTGCGAAAGGTTCGCCTCTCCGGATGCGGGTCATGGTGGCAAATTGCCACTAACCTAGAACGTGTGCTGGTTGCGCTCTTCGCCCTGCGCTGGATGGCACCACCAAGCCCCCTTCCGGGAACGCGACCAGCACCTTTAGAATGAATGCCAATTTACTGCTCCAGTGCACACCTTACGAGTAAATTGAGCACTGGATGGTGGCCATCGCGTCCTAAAAGGGCCAGCTAGGTGGTTCTGAAAAGCATGAACGCAATCCTTGTTCCCAATATCTGTTGGGGTTTATTGCAACCTTGTATGCTGCCTTCTAGCTTCTTTGGCTGGGAGGGGACTGTCAATCTGCCCAGCATTAACCAATCGTTCCCTTTGAGCTCAAAGAGAGTCCCGCCTCTTTGCCGAGAGGTCTTTTTCCTCCGAGCCTTTGTTAATGCCCGTTGTCGTTGGCTGGTGGAAAGATCAGTCAAAAAGTCTCTCGAAGCAGAGTTGTTACAAGCAGTCCCGTTGTCGATAGTTTGTCGTTCATGCACTCACATTTGCAAGCAAAGGGTATGTTTTATTCTTTCTACTACTAATGTCTCCGAATGAGTCACCGAGACTGTAAGTGCCAGTTAATGAGGGGGGGGGAGTGGACTCTCTGAGGAACGAATAGCTCTTTTCCTCTGTAAGTCCCCCACACTTGATTCGCACATTGTGAGTTTTAGTCAGAGATTTTCAGCATCTAGCCCAGTTTCCCCCATGTAGTTTCGCTGAGACTTTGGGTAGTTCGGACTAAAACCTGAGACGGATTCACGCACCACGGCGGCTGGCGCCATGAGCTTCCATACCTCAGTGCCAATGCACTGATCATCCCCAACCCTTCCCAATGCCTACTGGGGATAACCAGAGTTATCCAAGAAGGCCCAACCAAGACGGTTGCCCACCGATCCGTCTGGAGGTAGACTGCCTTGAGACATGGAGGTTCTATTGTGCTACCAGTCTGTAACATTCTTTAGCCACCTTCTGAACACCGAGGCACATGGGAGACATATTTTTCCCCCACCCTGTTCTTAAAGCTTGCCTTAAAGATTGCACAGGTAGCAAATAAATAAAATATATAAAATAAAATTTAAAAAAAAACCCTACCCACCACAACACAGCCGAGGAGAGAGTTTTGCAGCCTTCATAAAAATATAATAATAATTTAAAAAAAAAATCAGAATGTCGGAAGATGTCTGGAAACAAAAGGCCAGCGGGAAGAGAAAGAGAGGAAAAAAAATCAAACAATTTTTTCCCCTCAACTGGATTTCATCTTTTTCTTTGACGCCCCCACAGCTGGAGGTGAAATAGCTATAGAGGAACAAGTCAAGGGAAAAAGAGAGGAGGGAGAAAAAAAAAACAGAGAGTAAGAAGAATCTGACTTTGGCAGAGAGTGAAAAGAGAGAGGGGTCTGGCCCAGCCACGGAGAGAGACACGACCACAGAAAAAATGGGGTTTATTCTGCATTGACCGAAAAACTAATGACAAGACCTGACCCCAGCAGGTGCTTGCATCGACGAAGCTTTTTGACGGTGTCCCTGAGGTTAATACACCCGGGGGGAAAATAGAGGAACAAAGCAAAAACCCATTTCAAAAACACATCAACCTTTATATATGTGTGTGTCTCCTCTGTGTGTGTATATATATATATATTCCTTCACTCCCCCTCCCTTGCCAAATTTCATAGCACAAGGATGTGTTCGCTCTTAAAGCTGGACCAGTGGGGGGAAAAAAACGCTTCTTTTCCCACCATTAGCTTATGGTTCGGGAGCTTCTGATGAATTCCCACATTTTGAGGGAATTGGAGACGAAGCAAAAAAAATGAGGGGGGAGGAAAAAAGTTTGAATAAGGCGAGGGGCCGTAGCTCGGGAAGTGGAAATAAACTCCATTTTCTGGTTCTCGGCTTCGCAATTTGGAATCATCTCAACGCTCCTGGAGGCTCTCCTTGTTCGTCTCTGGATGGGGCGAACGTTAAATTCAAGGCACGCGATGGCAGCTCGTTGTCTAAAAACTCTTCAGGTAGATTTGATAGGATCCGATCCTGATATCCGGATTAAGGGCAGTATCTT